TGTTGGAGTCTTATTACATATTTGTTGTTATTGGTCATCTTCTTTAAATTAGAAGTAACCAAAAAACAGCCAACAGTGACAACAGACTTGAAGACATTTTCGGCTGTCGTGCTGCAGTTGGGCTGGCCCAACTATTGTTTTTTTAAGGTTGCAGTAAACAAGTGGACGACATTAAGCTTTTGTGCATGTCAGAGATGTCTCTCAGAAAAAGTATTTTAAGTTAAAAGTAATAGGCAATGTTTCCTGTTGTTTATCTAATTACTGGTACTTTTAAACACATCAAAGAAAGGAAGGGAAAAGCTTGTACATGTATTTACAAATGAACAACTTTTGCCAGAGTTCCTTCAGATCTCACATGTATTCACGATGGTCTTTGTAGTTGGGAAACTGTTTAAAAGTAAGACTGTTGAAATCTACATATATTTGTGAATGTGAATACCTCTGTACCCATTGCTTTAGAAATTTTTTTTTTCATGTAAGTGAATGTACTTAAGTTTGATAATGGAAATATCATAAAAAAGGTAGTAAAATACCCCATCAAAATAAGTTGATAATGGGTTTACTGAGACACAAAGGTCTATTTTGAAGGTTTGTGTTAAAGCAATTCCATTGCAGCTTCCCTTCAAGCGTTCACATGAAGGTAAGTGTTTGTCAAAGTAATTTCCATGAAATTCGCTTGCTTTAACCTAACCTCAATAGGTGTGTGGAAAATTATGTTGGAATCGAAGATTTGGAACATGTAATGAGAGATCATCCTTTGATCATGAATAAAGGATTGTTTCATAGTTTGTCCCAGATAGACATGAGGATGATTTTATTCTTGTGAATGATTATATCCATTGTTTGCACTTTGAACAAGAAAATGAACTGGCCCTGTTTTTTGTTTGTTTTTTTAAAGTCATTTGGGAACATTAGTATTTAAACGCGCGCGTGGGGCCGCACTAATTGACGGACCTAGTACATGTACATACCTCTTTTACTTGTGTTTTTAGTCTCTGTGAGGACCTAAGCAAGTTTAGTCAAGGCGGTGAACTTTGAACCCTAGACCAGGGCCTGTCAATAACGCGTGTACCTGTGCCACTGTGTGCGGGCATAGAGCTACACGTGTAGAGTTCATGTGTGTGAAATCATGGTTTTCCCCCATCCTGTTCATTGCATTCATGTGCTCAGCCAGCCTAGCCCCACTAATGTGGCACGGACTCTCACTCCCGATCCATCCTTAATATGGATCGGGAGTGAGAGTCCGTGCCACACTAGTGGGGCTATCTGTCAATCTGCATGACTCGATATTTGTGCGATCAGTTAATCTCATTGCATGATTTGTCAATAACACTGATATCGTCCAATCACCTTAGTTAATTAACAGTTCTGGAAAGACTGTTTCAAAAATGGCAAGTGATGTTGGAAATTTCAATTTTTATACATGATGGCCTGATCAGTGCGCCAATTTTATTTCTGCTGAGCACCACTCTTTTTCCCCCCCTTTTGGTACAACCTATGTGCAGTGCAGTTATGGACAACGTTGTTAGACTTGATGTTGGAGGATCCAAGTACACCACCACCCGAACGACCTTGATGCGCTATCCTAACAACATGCTGTCCGGCATGTTCACTGGATCATTCCGTCCTGCCGGGTGCGACAAGGACGGCACCCTCATCATTGACCGCGATGGACCCACTTTCCGCTTCGTACTTAATTTCCTGAAGCAGGGTGCGCTCTGCCTGCTGGACGACTTTTGCGACTGGAGCCTCCTTGAAGCCGAGGCCAACTTTTACCAAATTTCTTAACTGATCAATGCCGCGGCCCTTAGAAGACACCAAATCGCATGTGAGGAGGCCATGAAGGCCAAGACCGCTGAAGCCCGGCACCAGGGCGAAGGAGCTGAAAGAGGCCAGGGCGGGCCGCGAACTGGAATTTGTAGAGATCACTGCGAAGATGGTTGATGTGGCCAAAATTGGCCGCTACAAGTACGTGGGAAGCGCAGAGACTTTAAAACAAATACCTGACCTGCTCTAGTTTCTCACTCCTTTTGGGCCCCCCTACGGTTTGGAGGAGGTCTTTCTGTTGGAGGAGGTGGAGAAGAACGGGACTGCAGCAAGATTGAGAGCTCGAGGAGGAGCCCCTTTGGCCACTGAAGATCTTCCAGCAGGTGACCAGGCTAGGCTTCAGCCTGGTCACTCGCATGGACTGCCCCGATGGCCAATCAGAGAAGTGGGTCTTCAGCCGACCAATCAAAAGCTCACGAATGGTCCCAGCAGAAGTAGTGTCCCGGAAGTGGGGCTGTGCCTAACAATCACACATATGCCTTCCACTGGACAGCGGCTTCAGTCATCTTTCTACAGATGCATGCGATACTCCTGTACCACTTCCAGTTTGAGCTGGCACAACCTGAACTTCAGGGCTCTGTCACAAGAGGCATTAATGGCATTGGTTTTAGACATATCATTAAACCAGAATAAACCCTGGCTGGCAAGCTGCAGTCTTGAGGAATTTTCCTGAATTGCTTAAGAAATGAAGTTAGTTCTTCCCAAGGGTTTTTAAACTTGTAGATTTGGTTGCCTCCTGGTTGATTTTGAATATTGCATTGATTGACATGGCCCATATTGCCAACATCAAACATTCCTTGGTTGAACTAAGCCCAATAAGTCCGATTCACACAGAACAACAAAAGCTTGAACTTGGGGGTTAAAAAGTCAAATTTGCAACCCAGGGCGGTCATGGTTTCATCATGGTTGATGAGTTCACCCTAGGTTGAGAGGTTGTGGTGTGAAAATGCCTCGTGTGGGTGCAAGTGTACTACTAATTGACGTTATGGGCAGTGTTCAAGCTCCAAAACTTAAAATCTAGCTGTCTTGAAGCTAAGAAGTGGAACAAATCCCGTAAGGACAGGTCTGCAGTCGGTAAGGGATAGTGGCTTTTGGTGTTTGAAGAAATTCTGAGTTCGGGGACTTGGGAAGTGTGAGAATATAATTTTTATGTGTGATTTTGGATAAGGGTGTTTAGAGAAAAGTCCAGTAATGAAGACATTGTTCAGAAGTTTGGTATGTTACATATCAGAGCATGCGTATATATTTTCTAGTTTTTCATGTACATGTATTATAACCATGCTATATGTATCTACAACATATGCATAGATTTTATATAATGGTTAACAGTCATGTTATACTCTTGCCGTTTGGACTATATGTTACTTGAAACAAAACATTTTGGGTGAGCTTTCTTAGCAAGCCCATTCAATGTCTTGTCTGGGAGTTATTTGGAGTTGTTCATTACTGAGCGCATCGAGAGAATTTTTTTATCTTTGAATTCTTCTTCGTTTATCTTCGAATTCAAGGGTAAAGTAGATTGCCTACAAAACCCTAGCCCTAAGACCTAAGTTAGAATATTGTGCTATATAGTGTCTGGGATCCGTACCATTAAGATCGCAAAAACACATCACTAGAAGCAGTCCAGCGGAAGGCGGGAAGATTTGTATGTAAAGATTTTCGACAAAAAAACTGTGTTTTCTCGATTCAAATATTGGATGGAAATCTCTGGAGGACGGTAGAGCCACCAGTAAACCCAATTTATTGAATTAATCCATCCATCATCAAGTATCAGTGAACACGGATCACTATCGGGTTAAATCTAAAAGAGGGGATTACAACATGGATAACATCTTTTATTTCCTTTCCCATCACATCTTTTATTTCCTTTTCCCATCAACCACCACTAAAAGACTGTTGCAAATTCTCCTTTGTACTCAGGGCCCATGTGGAATGGAAATATTTACCAGCCGAAATATGGTAAGCTTTAAACATCGAAACCTTCAAAACAAAACTGTCCAATATTGATACATTTTAATTAAGGGGGACCCACCACATGTATATTAGAGTCAGCTTGCCACCACGCACCTGTAACACCAGTGGTGGAGGTTGTTGCAGTACTTAGAAGAATGATAAACTTTCTGCATGCGACTAAAGAGTCGTTCATTTGCTTGATTTAAGTGGTCCTGGCTCAGTTAGGAATATCTTTTAAATAGTTACCAGGGCTCGAAGAAAGATAAATCCGATCGACAGGCATTCCAACCTGTAACGATCAAAAACTTCCGTATCCATATCTGAAAAATCACGTAATGCTTTGTTTACATGTACGCTTTCCTAAGTGAGCTCGATGCCGGGATCATGTCCACTCGTCCGGTGGAAAATTACGTACATGTGAACAAAACGTGACATGTGTTAGGTCTATTCAGTTAACAAGAGAACAAATAATCTAAAAAAAAAAAAATTCAAATAAAAAAAATTACCATGTAAATGTATTTTGTTTTTGTGGATAACTACTTTTCAATCGAATTGCCCCCAGAGTTAAGCTAATTTTAATATAGGGTAGCCGGGCGTGGCCTGAAACGAGTTTTCTTACTCTGTTGAAGGTTGTTCACGAATATTGTCTGTGAACGCCGCCCTCTATTGGTAAAGGCCAATAATCAACAATATTTAGGAAATGTGCGGCGGTGTGAAAGAAGGTATTGTATTTTGTACTTTGTAATGCTGAATAGATAAACAGCCAAATACCGAAAGCTCAGTGCCTCATGAATGAGCATATTATGGTGACAGATATGATACCCTGATATTTACATCCGGCTGCTATTTCTATTTTCGACTGTGTTTATGTGTGGCTTTTTCTTTTGACGGATCTGGAACTAGGTACTAGGTACACGGACGAGTGTGAGCGCCTGCATATCGGTGGCTTGTGATTATGACGTCATTAGCAAAGACGTGTATCGGGAATTCCCCGACTCGGTAGTTATTTTGCTGCGACTATGGTGACTGGTTGATTTATTTTCCTCAAAACTCTAAGACCAAGAGTAAATTTACACGACGGTTTAGTGCTTTCTCTGATACCAAGGGCCGGGCATGGGCATGAAGGATAACACAGTAGTCTCCTACATGTATTCATAAATGGAAGTGGATGCAAGGTTTTTGTGTGACGTATATCATGTTCTGCTGTCCTGTTTTCAGACCGGTTGAAGCATCGATCATGATTGCATCATCCAGAGATCTCTCTAGGGTATGTAGTTACTTATTTTGTTCATTTGGGTTTAATTTGTACAGTGGGATATGAAGCCGGTAGCCTATAATGCAGTTTATGTGTAATCAAGGTTTGATTCATGTCATATGTACAAATTCGGATTGCAATAGTTATCAAGGTAGAACATGACAGTTTATGAAGTTTATTCAATTAGTTAGTGGTGAACTTTGATAAATGAGAGGGTAAATGCATGATCAGGAATGATATGCTGGTAGTTTAATATTAACTTCTTGTGAGATTTCCCTGGAGACTTTTCCATGATGAATCGATCTTGTTATTAGGTCATGTCGGCATGACAGAGCCTGATGCGATAGAGCATCTGTGGACAATGTCGCCCTGTGAGCCACAGGCACAGGGACAAGTTGGCGACGAAGGACGGGGGCAGGCTGGGGAACATACCGATGAGCGGGGACCAGACAGCCAGGCCCAGACAGCAACTGAGGAACAAACAGGTGAGCAACAGGTGTATTGGCTTTCTGGAGTGAATGCCCATCTCGCTGAACAGGTGCTTATGTGTTCTGTTGATTATGCCCCAAGAATGAAGCTGGAATACTGCAGGCCTCGAAATAGTACTAGCCGGGCGTACAAATTCTAGCAAAAAATGCTCCTGGCTACCTAGAGTTGGTTCCTTTGTTGCCCGGTGGGCTAGTGAAAAGATCAGTATAGAACCTACCTGTAGTGTTAAAATTTAGATCAAAACACATGTATTGCTTTTGGTGATAATAAATGCTCGATTGCAAAACCTTTAACTACGAGTGCATGTGACATACAGCAAATCGTGCCTCTTGTTTTTCCCATCAGCAGTTTATTTTCTTCATTGGTATTAGGGCTAACAACAATTGTCGGTTTTCTTTTTTTTGCATACGGGCTAGTAAAACTCCAAATGGGCTAGTAAAATACCCAGTTTACTAGCCCCCTGGGCTGTCCAGGAAAAAAAGTCAGCGTAAGGCTTGTACTGCAGTGCATGCAGTGCTGTAAAGAGAAAAATAAGTTGAGCCACTGGGTAGTAGAAAAAAAAGAGCCAGGTGGATTTTTGTACATACTGTATGCACATGAAAGGTGGGCGACTAACAAATGCAAATATGGTCGCCATTGGCGGTGAGAATTAGACATTCGATCGCATATGATCATTTTTAGGCACAAGTGCTACGGTGCATGTAGCCATTGTTTGTAGCCATTGTTTGGTATGCACAAGAGTTTATCCACTAGGAACACAGGACGAGGGTTCCTCTCATTTTCTCTGTTTTCGCCGAATGGCACAATCCACATTCAGAATTTGCATCTTGGCAAAAACGCCCTTTTTAGCTTGTTATAGTTTAGCTCTGAAGACAAAGGACGCTGCATTTGATTTGGATGCTTCCACATTTATTTGAACAGATAAAATCACAGAAAACAAGGTTTGGGAAACCGCACTTCTTAGGTTGATTTGTCTAAAGCAGTCTATTATGTTTTCATGCGGTGAAATTAGAGACAAAAACTATGCAGACATCCCAAGATTCTAGACGGCCCTTTATCAAGGTCAGAAGAGGCGGTGTGAGTGATTAAAAGAACGTCATCCATTTTTTTTCCAAATTGTTGGAAAATGTATGATGCCCCGACTCTCATTTCCCCCTCAGCAGTTTGTTTTGTTGCCGTTTAAAAAAACTGTAAGCTGCAAGTGCTGTGAATACATTGCAGATGAAACAGAGGTTCATGAGGAGATGTTCATGTTTGGGATGTGGAATGAAGCCGTAAAAAACTTGGTGTAAGTTCTTTCTTTCCCTTTTTTTGTTCACAGTTACAGAATTAGAGGCAACCGCCCCCTTTCGTGAACTGCCCAATGTATCAGGCTCTGGAAATATCGTCGTTAGCAACGCACCTGGAAGTGTCTTCAACATTTATCAGTACCATCCCAGCTCAAAAGGTGATTGAGGATCCCTGAAACCAACCACTTTTTTTAGGGCACAGTTTTGTTGTACGCGGTGTTGGGTTTCTATAAATTCATTTGCAAACTGCATTTATACTTTGCTTTTATGTTGTTTTGTGATTAGCGAGGATGTGGGTTTTGTTTGATTCATAGAACTAAAAGAACAAGGAAATTTGATGTAAAATTTAATGATATGTAAAAGCATTGGAACTTCCTTATTGGAATTCTTTTTTTCACCTACTTGATTCTTTTCTTTAGCTGCTTGTACTGGCATTGGAAACCGTCGTCATATAGTTGTCTTGGGGAATGTTTGAGCATTTACATGAAGTAGAAGTTAATGGAGAACAGTGTTATGCCTGTGTGAGAATCAACAGAGTGACGATGAGCATTATACACCATCTTATCAATGGCTTTTTATATGAGATAGTGAGCGAATTCTCTCTTTTTGTTTTGATCAAACATGTTAAATTGAAGATGGTGAAAGGCCGTCTGAGCAGTGTGGTGCCCCGCCACAGGAGAATAAACAAGGCACATCGGAGAAGCCAAAACAAGAGAGTACTCAACAGTCGACACAAGGTAAACGGCCGTTTCAAATGGACTCATTTTATTACGAAAGGCTTGTGATTGACTGAATCATGCTGACTTGACTTGGAAACTTCAATATTTAATTTCACTGATTGCTTTCAACTATACACGCGCATAACTGAGTGGTACATGCTCATAACTGGGTGGTAGAACGGTTTATGCTGAATATTTTCCCAAGTTCCTAGTTTTACAAAAGTCAGTTTAATACTAAAATATAAATGTTTCCCCCTTTACACCACCAAGACATGTGAACTAATTTTTTCGAGGTTGCAAAAGTTGAGTTATTTATCCCGCTACAGATACGCAGGCTGCTGTATTCTACAGCTTTGTAGCTGTCAATGGTCTATTGTTACCTTCTCTTTGAAATTATCACGTTTGTCAAGATTTGAAAGGTTGGGATGATCATTGCTTTATTCCAACAGTGGTTACTAGCATGAGCTCTGTTTTGTATTCCTGGACTTGATTGTTGTAACTTTGCCCATTCTTGAGTAAGGATGGATAACATGAAAAGCTTCAAGTGATTTGAAATACTTAGGCATGGGTTGCCCACAGTTTACTTGTGAAGATACAGTCTTAACTCCTCAGTCCATCCTCTCACCCCCATAAAAATCTGATTGATGTTGGATGGAAAAAAAATGCAAGAAAATAATTCCCATTTCTTTCCTTTAGCGGAGGTGCAGATACCCGACAAGGTCCTGTTCAAGATCGCAAAGGAACTTCCCCACTGGGAGGAGCTTGCTCTAAATCTGGAGTTTAGTGACGCAGACCTCAGCAGATTCAAGGGAGACTACCCAGACCGAGCTGGGTACCAGGCCTATAAAATGCTGATAGCATGGAAACAAAAGCAAGCTGCACATGTCGATCAGATAGACGCTCTGGGCTCAGCGCTGGGTGAGGCTGGGAGAAGGGATCTGTCTGTCATTCTCAGAGGTACGTAACTGTCCATGCCCTTGCCTCTACAAGGTTTCGTTTCATGTTTTCCCCAACTCCATTTGTAAAAGAACAGACAAAATTACACATCCTCTCATCTCCCATTGATTGAAGCCCATGAAAAAAGTGACAGTCGTCAAGTCTGACGCTGCACCCTTACCAACGGTTAATATTAGCATCTGCTCCCAACTTCACTCCGTCAGTTGTTCGTCTAAGACGTCAAAGATCTGCTGTGCTGATCTTCTGTGTCTGCAGTTTGTAGCCTGGTGAAAGAGCCAGTCAACCTCGCTGGGTGCTCCCAGTTGCTCAGTCAAGGATATCCTTGGTCGACCATGTGCTCTTGATCAGTCAGGTGCCTCTACAGTTAATTAGGATGTGGAGTGCCCTCTTTGCAGAAGTGATTTTGCCAAGGTGGGCGATTTGGAAGGAGAGAGTGTCCCAGTAATGACGGACCGAGCGACTGATAGCAGGGAGTTTTGTATCCAACTTGTTCAGTTACAAAGCCCTTGGTCAACAGGCATTTCATTGACACTCATATAGCTGTATAACTTTAATACATCGTCATAACGTTTTCGCAGAAGTTCCAGTTTCGTTACATTTTGTGCCTAATTTGTTTTTCCAGGTAGTACGCTTCAAACACGTTGCCAATTAACCGGTATGTTTCAGTGTGGGCTAAGCTCCATGCAGGCACCATCCTGTCAGCATGCTTCCATACACAGTACATGAATTTTCATTAATCTGTCAAACTCACTTTAAAGACCAATTCCAATGGTTTTGAAAGTTTTGAATGTAAACTGTGATTGTGTTTAGAGTGTACGTTCATTACCAAATCATGTCTTTATTGTGTCTCTCTTTTTTGTAAGTTTGCCAAAACTTTTGAATGGTGTCTTTGAGTTTTATGAAAAATTTCAACAGTCTGACTGCTGGTGGCACTGTTGAGAAATTTGTGTGATGTAATACTGGAGAAAACATTGAAACTGGTATCCGTGGCACGACTGGTTCTGTTGCAATTGGACATGTACATGAACATGGAGCTACAAATGTGTGCACAGCATACCGGGGATTGATCTGTGTGCTTGGTCTACTGTGCTATATTTTCTCTTCCGATGAGGTTTTGTGCTCCTTTCTTCATGATTTACAATAGTGCTGAAATCCAGCATAATTGATGGATGTATAAATTTTGCGAAAGAACTGGGATTGAAATTCTTCGAGTTTTTGAATTATGAGAGCTTTCTTCAAGTTCATGCTGCCTGTCCGCGGTGGCGTGCTATGCATGCCTAAAGCGCACGCACTGTAGTGTTTCCTCTCCAGGGTAACATATCACAAAAATCAATATTCATTAGATGCTAATGAGTTGTGACGACACATCCATTTTTACAATACCTGACTAGACTCGCAGGAAATACGGGTACAAAACTGTGTTTTATTAACAGAAATGTGTATTGCAAGGGAGATACTGACATGTGCCACTTTTATTAGTCTTGGCTCTTCTGAATTGGATTCAACATGAGAAAAGTCAGTATCATTGGAGTTGGTCTTTAAATGATCAGTGCAGTCAAATTAGCATTGTATGTCTGTTTTAGCAATAATTAAAAGGGCCATATAATATAAGCATTCTAATAGAAATACTTGAAATTGCATCTTTGTGTTTTGATTAACCTCAGTTTCAATTTGTAATTTGTTATTTTAATCTGTATTTTGAAGCCTTTTTGGTATCCATGCTGATATATAAATTTGCATAATCACGAGTACCTGTAATATAATTCACAGGACACTGAATCTCAACGTTGCATTGATTTTGCACAAAAAATTGGATTTTATTTTATACTTTCCTGTCAAAGATTTCCATTTTGGTGTTATAGATACGATGAGAAGCCTTTTTTCATACATTTTTGGAAAAGCAACTTCGAGGTCCAAAATATGAATATTAAAACATTGAAAATTGAACCGTTCCTGGGTTTTCACCACTCTAATAGTCCCCTCACTTGTCTGGAAAAGCTTGGTCAATTTTGAATGTTTAAAAGTGCACTTTACAATTCACGTAACTCCAAACATATTTCAAACAGTTTTCATTCATTGAAGAAGAGTTTAAACATGCACAAAAAACGATTGCAAGAAAAATTTATCGCATGTTCCTTTAATTTCTAGAGGGCACCGATACCCAATGCCAAGATTGTGTTGGTCGCTGTGAAAAAGCCCTGAAGTCACTCTACATGAGCACGGGGAGCTATGTACAATTGATCCCATGGATCAATGGCTTGAAGAAACACATCATGGACATCTACACCAAGCCAAAGCTGGAGACTGAGAGCTACAGTGGTGAAGTACTAGAATCGTATGATGGCATCTTCCGCATTAGAACACGGGAGGGTGAGGCAGTCCATATAGCTGTTGTAAACGGGTTGGCAGGGAGGGGAAAGTCCACGCTCTTTGACAAAATGGCGTATGACTGGGCTGTTGGCTGTAGCGATGCACTGCGAAAGTTCAAGCTTGTCTTCCTGTTGAAAATGCATGCGCTAGAGCAGAGTTCAGATCTTATCGATGCAGTCTTCGATCAACTCTTGGCCAAAGACACAATGCTGATGAAGCATGCCCTGCGAGAATTTGTCAGAAGGAACCCTGGCCAAGTCCTCCTCCTTTTGGATGGCTTTGATGAGTTCCTGACAACCTCCCCTTGCACCTCTGCATATGGGTCTGTCCTAAATATCTTGAAACGAGATGTGTGTCGGGGTTGCAGTGTGCTTGTCAACACCCGCCCCTCACACTTCCACAAACTGGTAACAAGGGAACTTGTTCAAGAACCATATACCTACATCAGGATCGTGGGTTTCAGTGCACACGACGTCGATCTGTATGTCAAGAAGTTTTTCTCTGACAATGACAGAAAGGCTCTCGGGCTGCTGAGCAAAATTCAGTCTTCCAATCTTCTGACCAATCTGGCAGAGAGTCCAATGCTGCTGCTTTTAATGTGTCTGCTATGGAGGGACGCTTCCACACTCCCTGACACAATGTCACACCTGTATAGTGAGGCAGCTAAATATATCTTCAACAGAAAAGAGACTGTGACAAAAGAGCAAGTGGCCAAAATTGTGAGTGACATTGGTAAGGCTGGCATGCACGGTCTTCTATCTCCGAAACAAGTGCTCTCTTTCAAAGAGGGTGACTTTGAAAAAGGTGTGGTGGATGTGGCTGTCAGGGCAGGTATTCTTACGAGGCAAAGGGTTGTGAAGGGACTAGACGCTCACATCAGTGTTCAGTTCATCCACAAGACCTTCCAGGAATTCTGTTCTGGTAGATACCTGCAAAGCCTGTTTGTACAGGACAGAGGTGAATTTCAGAGGATTCTGAGACTAATGGTGCCGAAGGGTCCCGAAGGTCTTGGGTATATACTGCGTTTCTGTTGTGGGGACAGTGAAGCATGTACTAATGAGATCCTTCAGATTTTTCAGGACAGTTGTCAAAAGTACTTGTCATTTGACTCGAGGCTGGGTCAGTTGGCACTTCATTGTTATTTTGAAGGACAGTCAAGCTCCTTGCCTCCAGGGGACGTCATACATTCATTCATAACTGCCAACGTTATAATACGGGATCTTGACAGTGACTGCTTCAACTCCATCACATATTTCCTGGAGCGTGTTGCTTCCCAGACTAAAGAGAGCGGCAATGCCTTTCTCTCAAAAGTAAAGAAATTGCACGCTTCTCAGTCTGCACTGATCAGGTGCGGCGAAGGTTTGGCTGTTGCCATGAGTGCAATGGCAAATCTTTATTATGTGTGCCTAAAGGATAAGTGGTCTAAGTGGGGCTTCTCTCAAACTGTTGTCCTTGAGGGTAAGGCCAACTTGTGGTGCTACCACCTGAGGCAGGTGAGAAACCTTCAGAGACTGAACTTAAGTCGCTGCGCACTGAAAGGAGAGGACGTCAAACATGTCACTGCATTACTCCGGGAGCTGCCCAAGCTGTTCGAATTAAACATCTCTTTCAATGACCTGGGTGGAACAGCAGCGACATGGTGCAAGCTTTTAGAGCAGGGCCAGTGCCTTAAAAGGTTGGACTTGAGTCGCTGCTCATTGAAAGGCATGGACGTCCAGCTTGTTGTAGATTCTCTCAGAGGTCTGCCCAAACTGGATGATTTGGACCTTTCTGACAATGACCTGGGCGGCTCAGCAGCATTGTGGTGCGTGCATCTGACGCCTTTGCAGCAGCTGCAGCAACTGAACTTGCGCAACTGCTCACTGCTAGCACAAGACGTGGAGCTCGTCGCTCAATCTCTTGGGAATCTACCCAATTTGGTTGAATTGATTCTGTCCGAAAATGACCTGAGGGATTCTGCATTTGTTTGGTGCTCGCATTTAGCGCAGTTGCAGCAACTGCAGCAGCTTAACTTGCGTCGCTGCTCCCTGACTGAACAGGACATTAAATCAGTCATTGTCCCTCTCAGGAAACTGCCCCAACTGCATGCACTGAATCTTTCAGAAAATGACCTGGGTGGCGTAGCACTTTCCTTGTGTGAGCATTTCAAGCAGCTGCAAAACCTGAAGAGGTTAAATCTTGTTCTCTGTAGACTGTCAATGGAAGATAAGGAACACATCACCAAATCACTTAGTGAGCTATCTGAGAGGAATAGGTTAGTCATTAACTTCTGATTCGGTCTACCAATACAACAAACTGTATGGCTATAGACTTACTTTCCTGCATACCATTCCGGAATGAAAAGCTGTAGTTACCACCAGCAGAAGTAGGTCTTCATGTATCATTCACTGGGACCTTGAGACGCTTGGCGGCCGTAATGTTTCATACAGGTCCCGTGTGATCATGGGCAGTCCAATATCGTTTGCTACATACTCGAAGTAATAATCTGCATGCTCAAAATGATACGCACATTATTGGACAAATCACATAGGACCGTTGTTTGCCGCCATCAAACATCTCAAGCTTCCCAATTAAGCGAGACCATTTTTGCCGGTGCACGATCGCAAAGAGTTGCGCGACTAAGTCCGAAATAAGGACAGTTGTGATCTGGTCTGTGGACCATATGCTAGTGGTTGCCGACGAAACGATTCAGGGAGCTTTCAGCATCATACTTTACGTGACCAAACCAGGAGGAATGAACTGTGTTCAGTATTGAGTATATTTGCCTAAACGGCGCAGCAATTGCCTCTTTGACAGTTTGTTGAGACTGGTTGCAGGCTCTTGAACCGATCTGTAAAAAAAACCATCTTTTCATGTTAGTGTGCCTTATGCATGGTACGTATGAATTACCCACTATTTCTGATGCTGTATGACACCAGCGCCATGCATATTTATGTAGTTTATAGACTTTTGGTATGTTCATTTAATTTTTTTTTACAAGAGGGAGTAGCTTTCTTTATCTTTTTACTAATAATTCTGCTACCATAACTTAAGTAACATGTAGGCTGCACATCTACTTAAAACGCCTCTTTGATCGAGAAGCCCGGTGTCCCAAAGTTGTGGCTGTGGCAGAAACTTACAGTATGATTGCAATCATTACATCTGGTCAGATTAAGTACCGGGTTGTGACACCATTTGAACCATTGCAAACGAATGGCCATTTACACACGTAAAGGAGAGTGCTAATAGAGGGATTTCACATTAGGGCCGTCTGTGCATATCCGCATCGAAACCGAGGCTCTGTGTGTTGAACTTCGCCGCGTGCGTCCGCGGAATCGATACAGTACATGGAGTATCCGGTTTGTAAGTGTGACGCCACTTCATTTTAAACCACGCCCACTGCACAGTCACACGACCATCGCAGGGTACGTTAGTGCGCAGTAAATTGCCGTTATTTTTCTTTTGATTTTACCTGTGGAGTCAACCTGAAAGACTCTTCCACCAAAATTTGCAGTCTAAAAAGTCAGAATTTAACATACCTTTATGTATTTTGTGTCTTGACTCCTTACTTTCAATCGTCTGATCGAATTAAGAATTGAAGCTGACACATACAGCCTCGTTTTCAAACGCGAAAAACGCAGGTTGACGCTTAAAGCGTCGTATTGGGATCCTTCTACAGGTGAATACGTCACGCACACAATTATGTGTGTAACAGGGATTAGCGCCAGAACCAGCGCCAGCACTAACACGTGCACCCACTCCGTTCTTCTTCACTCCTGGTTCAAAATGACGTCACGCTGTGGTACTCTATAATGATTTTCACGTGATGTAACAAGACGGGCAAAGGCATTCCAGGAAGCTTATTTTTGTCCGTGGAGGCGCGTGCATTTTCGAATCTGTGTATTTCTTTTGGCAATTGCATCAACGCCAGAATGTTGAGAGACTTGCGTTTCCCCGCACATTCTGTGTAAAGTGATCACTGACCGTCAAAAATCAGTGACTGAAAATCCTCTTCAGTGTTGTGACTTACAAACCTCACGTGAGTTCCAAGATGAAAGTGTGCGTAACATGCATACGAGTTGTAGTTTATATGAAAGAGGTCCTTACCTTGTTGTTTTGTATTCTGGTAGTTAATCATATGGTTGTACGGTGGAAATTTGTGGATTGAATTTGATCTATAGCCTCATAACATCTATTGTCCAAAGGGCGGATCCAAAACCAAATTATATAGGAAGCCAAATTTTCTGGTGAAGCAAAACTTCAGATCTTTTTATATTAACTTTGTTGGCCTGTGGACAATTGCAATGGCTAGATTTTAGGCATTTTACACACTTGAGGGAGAACTGAATTAGAGTACCTCTACTTTTTATGTTTTCTTGGCTCCATTTTGTTGGGGAGGCATGACCACCGTTGCATCCTTCTTTGACTGCCCTGCTACGAATTTTTAAATCTCAGGTATTTTCTTTCAACCTCGGGTACCTTTTACTGTTAGCTTTTAGAATCAAGATTTTTATAATGTAAAACTTAAGGTTAAAACTTCATGATTCCGCGAGTGTCAGAAGTTGCTATTTATAAATGCGTAACTCATAAAGATACAAATGGTACTGGCTGAAACTGTACAAATATTGTCCAGGGTTTTATTTTGACTTATGTTTTTGAATACAATTGAACGCCTCCCAAAGTTTGCAACGCGTTGGTCAATCACGAAGCCCTAGATCTGTCAGCTCTCTCCAAACGCGAATTGAATTGACACATTGAGATTGGCCAACGCGTGGCAAACTCTTGGAAACGCACTATTCTGAACCACCCGTATTTGTTAGCTGGTCTTAAAACGGGAAGTGTTTGGCTCACAGTGTTGAACTTCAAAAGTGAAAAATGCCATCGGCATGCTGGTCTGAGTTGCCGATTTACATGTACAATAACGTTAAATTCCAATTATGAAAATAAAATGTACCGACTGTAGCGATGCAAAATAAGTGGATGAAGTTTGGATAATTTTATGCGTCTGTGTCCATAGCAAGTTCAGTTAACTGGTACGGGCGCCCGCTAGAAGCAAAATGTTAGTAAACGTGAGGGTTCAAAGGTGAATGAGGGAGAAGGCATATGGAGGGAGGACGAAAGTAGTGTTGGTTTTTTTTTGGGGGGTAGGCTCTTGAAACATTCCTCTCTGAGTAGCAACAGAGGACCAAAAGTCAACGGATACAAAGTTTGCAAAAAGAGGGGACAGATCGTTTGCTCCTTATTAGCCTAGTAAGTACATGTAAAACCTGAACGTGCGCTGACCCGGACAGCACGTGTACACAAAACTGCGCGCGTCCACAGCCGTGACTTCTTCCTTTACAAAAATATGTGAAGCGCATTTACCCATCCCATCCCATACAGTGCCCTGTATCGGCGATAGGTGACGAGCGAATGACCATCAAAGGAAGCCCATGAATAAGCTGATGACGGTACATTGAAGTTTTATTTAATCGCATCTTGCCGATGGCATTGAGACGACAGCAAGTTATCTGGAGGAATTAGGCCTAAATAGATTCCTTTCAGCATACTGACTCGTCGAGTTCTTTTGTCAAATAATCCGTAATTTCAAACAACTTCCGAGTTCAGTCATACTCCTGAGTGCCATACTTGTGCCTGATTCCTTTTTTAGAGCAAATTAAATTATCTGTAAATATGGAGATGAAGAAAACAACCTCGTTAATTCTTTTACATTTTCAAAGGATGTATGTATGAACTGAGATAATTCTATGAATGATCACAAACACATAGGCCTACACGTAAAAGATACTGACTTGCAATTTAAACCAAAAGTGAAAATTAAATTTTAAAAATGGAATAGGCCTAATATATAATTTATGTGTGAACCAAGGACAAGTGTTTTATGAAAT